CAGTAAGTATTTCTTTATTTTCTTCTTTTGGCCTAAATGGATCTTTACTGGGGATCAAGGGATCTGACTATCATTGGTGTACTCAGAGAGTGAGATTTATCCATATAAAATTATTTTAATACAGTTTGGGTATATGTGGACCGATGGATAAATATTTCATTATTAATATGATCCACTTGTAATCCCAAACAATATTTTGTCTTTCCAAAATCTTTAATCTCAAATTCTATTTTTAGATATTCAACTGCAATTTGGATCCTTTTTGGAGTTTCAATTAAATTAAGATCAACATATATTGCAATAATGACAAAATTTGATCAATTTTTTTTATAAAGACGCATGGGAATATTGAATCATTAGTATAACCTTATTTTATTAAACATTCACTGAGACGATTATACCACATTCGCCCTGATTGTTTAAGTCCATACAATGACTTTTTCAATTTGATGGAATATGATTCCCTTAGGTTTAATTTGTATGCTTCAGATATATTGAATTTCTCATAAACTTTCATATAAATATCAGTATCCAATGAGCTATAAAGATATGCAGCAACTACGTCTAAAAGACGTATATCAAGCTTTTCTTGCACTGCTAGGCCCACAAGGTATCTAAATATTATTTCATCGACAATTGGAGAGTATGTTTCATCAAAATCTACTCCAGGTCTTTGTGAGAATCCTTGAGCTACAAGACAGACTTTCTATATCACAATTTCATTATGCTCATTTCTTTTTCGTACAAACACCCATTTGTATACAACTGGTTGTATACCATCTGGTGTTTGAACAATTGGTTCGAAGACCTCCATTTTGTTTAATGAGTCAAGCAATGATTGAATCGCATTTTCTCATTTTGGCCAATCATTTTTTTGCCGACATTCATAAATTGATTTTGGCTCTAGATTCTCATTTTCTTCCATTATACCAAGTGTTAAATTGTATGCGAATGCATTATCAATAATTTCCTATTTACATTTCCAATATTTTCTTGAAGTAACATAGTTGATTGAGTTTTCGATAATCTCATCATGTTCTTCAAGATCATGCTCTTCTTGAGAAATTATTTTAGGATGGACTTTCCCATTATATTGGGGTTTATCAATGTCAATACTGATATTTTCATGATTATCATCATTTATTCATCTTTTCTTTCAAGGATGTTTGTCTTTGGAACCGAGTGGTCTGCCACGCTTTAAGCGTCTCGTTGATTCAATAGCACTAGCAATTTGTCCATCATGGACAATTATTTTAGCCGGAGAGTTAGCATTTTGGATATATGATCGAGTGACTTTACTCGAGTCATTGAATGCATCCGGTAATTGATTTGTAATATTTTTCAAATGTATAATACGTTGAACTTCTAGTTCACACTGCTTTGTATGAGGATTACCAAAATTCAATGGGATTTTCCAATTAATGTCCCTTTTCGGTTCATTTCTATCTCGCCCTAATGTCGGAAAATATGATTCGTCAAAATGACAACCTGAAAATCTTGCAGTAAATAAATCATCCGTCATATGTTTAAGATATTTTAGAATTGACGGTAATTCATATCCGACATAAATGTCCAATCTACGTTGAGGATCCATTTTTGTAAGTTTATGGGGTAAAATAGGAACATAAAAAGCACACCTTAAAATACGTAGATGAGATATATTTGGTTCATGACCAAATACTAATTGCATCGGGTAATAACTATTTAGCTTGTCGACCTTGTTCTTATGAGTGTTCCTGCATGTAAGATTGTATGCCCCTAAGCTAGAACGGGCAACATAGACCTTATCAATAATGGTCTAGATATCAATTGCAATTTTTTAATAAGTGATTCTGTCAGGCCATTTTGTGTATGAACATGAGCAACTGGGTCCTCTACATTAATTCCAATCGACATGAAATAATAGTCAAATGCATTCGATGAATATTCACCAGAATTATCCAAACATATAGTCTTAATTGGATCATCGGGGAATTGTGCCTCTAATTTAATAATTTGGGCAAACAATCTCGTAAATTTCATATTGCGAGTAGATAATAAACAAACATGAGACCATTTGGTAGATGTATCAATAAGTTCCATAAAATATTTAAATGGTCCATACGGTGGGTCTATTGGTCCACATATATCCCGTGTATTCTTTCCAAAAATATAGGTGATTCAATACCTACTTTAGCTGGCGATTGTCTGGTTATCAATTTTCCCTCAGTGCAAGCAACACAGGTTAACTCATTTGAGTTTAACACTTCTTTGACCTTTTAATGAATAGTCATGCGAATTCTCAATTATTCGCCTCATCATTATACTTCCAGGATGCCCAAGGCAATCATGTCATATTTGAAAATCAGTAGTCTTTTGATATATTGTAAGGTGTGTTTCAAAAACACCTGATCTGGCATAATATAAGCTAGTAGAGAGTGAAGGTAATCTTTTAATGATGCATTTCTTTTTATCAATGATATTGTTGATCAACAAAAATTCACCATCGGTATCACTCATAGTCTCAATGTGATAACCATTTTTTCGAATGTCATGAAAACTCAATAAATTTCTTCGAGCTTTAGTGGTCAACAATGCATACTGTATCACGATTTTCGTCTCTGCGGGGAGAAATATAATGGTTTCTCCAGAGCCTTCAATTAATTTTTCACTGTCACTTATTGTATTGACATTCATATTTTCCTTTTTTTAAATAGGAGAAATATTTTTCGTGTTTCAATATAGTCTGTGTTGTTGCACTGTCGATGAAGTATATATGTGCATCATTTTGATTGACAATCATTTAACCTTCAAAATATAAAGTAGTATAATGTAAATTGACATAATATGACTGTCACTAGGGGTTTTCTGAATCTACGACAAAATCTGTTATATCAAGATGCGTTGTGTCGTAATCCAGAAGATCATCATCGGGGTCATCATCATTATCAACATGATTAGTCTCGACCTCCTTCCCTTTTTTTCTGCAGTGAGGTTTGATAAAGATCAGCTAAGTGTTTGGCTGTTCTGCAGGTATTGGTCCACTGGTCTTCAATGCCACACTGATTACAAATGTTGATTGGCCTCTTTTCCTGTTTAGCCTTTTCGGTTATATCCCCATACTGGAGTTTACTCTACTTTTTGTTAATGTCAAAATTGCGGCGATTGTATGGAGTATATCGACCGCGTTGACTCTCACGACCGCGACCACGTCCATAGCCTCGTTCAAAAAATGTCACATTCGCTTCAGGGAATGAACTGAAACTAGTAGGCTGAGACTGATGATTTTTCATCAGTAATTCATTATTTTACTCAGCTAATAAAAGACATGCAATGAGTTGCGAGTAATTTTGAAAAATTTTCTCACGATACTGCTGTTGGAGCACGACATTAGAAGCATGAAAGGTAGATAGAGTCTTTTCCAATTTATCATTCTCAATAACATTTTCTCCGCAAATTTTTAACTGAGATGTAATATGATAAATAGCAAAGTTGTACTCTATAATAGTTTTAAAATCTTGCAATCGCAAGTTAAGCCAATCATGTCGGGCGTTTGGAAGAGTAATATATTTTAAGTGCCCAAATCTCTCCCTCAATTCATTCCAAAAATCAAGTGGACTTTTCACTGTCAAATATTCGGACTGTAAAGGAATGTCCAATCTTGGCTTGTAGTCATATTTTCATTAGCAATGTATGAACAAGACCCATAGAAACCAAATGCATTTATATATTCAGGGACCAAGTTAGAAAATTATTGCCAGTGAGAGACAAAGATTTAAAAGAAGATTTTAAAAGATTTTCCATAGTATAGATAGTCTAAAAATAAAACTCTCAAAAATAAAAAATGCAAGAGTCTTTGTACTGATAACGTGTTATGTAATAATAATAATGATATAATAATAGTATTGATATTAAATATGTATTTTTGTGTGACGTGTGAATATGTATATAAATATGCAATGATGATAATAGAATATATATACGGATATGTTGGAGGTGACATGTTTAAGTGTATATATATATGTATAAGTGTAAACAAAGAGAGGAGAGAGAGCACAAGGATTGCAGTAGTGATGAGAGCAACTGCAATGATCCGCCCAGCAAAAAGCATCTATCTGATTAAAAAAGCTGATGTGTCAAAGTAAATCATAAATTTGGAGGTTCGGTATTGTTTATTACACGCAATGGTTCATTAGGGTTAGGATTCACCAAGAGAGGAGAAGAATAAAAGACTGTGAGAAAAATGAAAGATAAGGGAGAGAAAGAGAGGTGAAAAATATGAGAGAGAAAGGAGTGCATCGATGCATACATCTCCTGCACCAAGTTATCTTCAAGGACGGAGAAATTTTGAACCTAAAAAAATAAGCCACTACAAGATTAAATTTTCAAAAAATAAAAATTTTCAATCGAGTAAGCTAGGGACGCTCTCTAAACATGGGTCACTGTAATTGCTCAAGATATCCTGATGTTTTGAATTACATCATTTATAGTATAAGAGTGTGTGATGTTTGTGGTTAATATTATGCCATAAATCATTCATATGCCATCGAGACATTACTACGTGTAGATTCCCATAAAGCATTCATATAATATCAACATAGTTACTTCCTGTATAACAATTGGAAGTATATTGTATTTTAAGAAATTCAAAAATGTAAAAAAAAAAAAAAAAAAAAAAAAAAAGGAGGGGGCTATGAAAAATCGAAATAGAGTATAATTTAATAAATTGGGCCCAATAGGACTCCCAATCAGCCCAAATATGAAACGGTCAAAGATGACAAGTGTGAACAGTACGGTAGTACATCTTAGGATCAAACAAATCAGAGCCGTCGGATCCGCCGTCCATTAATTTCAACGACAGTAAAGTAAAACCGAAATGATTGCATAACGGTGACATAATGATGAGGAACCACTCAAAAATCCATCATCACTCACCCCATTTCCATTTCAATCTCAATCCCAATCTCCAATTCCAAATTAATTCAATCAAATCAAATTAAAAAGCTAAAGCTAAAGCTAAAGCTAAAGCAAAAGCAGCAGAATGAGGTTGACGATGGAAAAACAAAAATTGCATTTTGATTGATCCATTCAAATTTCAATAACCACTACAAGATTTTGCAAACAAACCTGTCTGTGTTAGTGACTGCAACAAGCAATAAAGCAAACCCTAAATCCCCTCAAGCAAGCAAGCATGAAGAAAGGGGAACGGCCCTCCCCCGAATATTCCGCCCCACCTAAATTATATAAATAAATACTATTAAATTCAGCAAGAAACGCTCACCCCCCTTCGATTTTCCTCTCGCCTCCACGCCATCGGATCAAGAATCGACGGATCGAGGGCCGAAGTCTGACGAATTAAAGTGAAAGGAAATCTTGTCGGAGCGTGTAATGATTAGCCTTTGAAGCTTTGACTGCAAAGCGGAATTATAAAATAAGAAAAAAGAAAAAAGAAAAATAAATACAGTCACTGCTCGAAGCAAAGAGAAGTTTTTTTATTTTCTTGTTTTTCTTTTTCCTTATTGTTTTTGTGCTTTGGGTTTTCTTCAATCTCTTTTTCCTCAATCCACATTCTTCCTCTTTCTATTGTTTTCCGTTAGAAGGAGAAAGCAAGGGAGGGAGATTTGGGGGAGCTGAGAGAACGTGGGAGACTTCTCCGATTTCGAAGCTGAAATTGATTTCGATTTCATTTCATTTCCAATCGGTGGAATTTTGAGTGGAATATGAATATGATGCGCCGGCTGAAGAGCATTGCTTCTGGACGGTCCTCCATTTCAGATCCTGTAAATTTTCTTTCAGATTCTGCACTCACTTTTGATCTCTTCTTTACTTCTTTATGTTATTTCTGCTGATCTGGTTGGGGCGAGCTGAGGATAACTTCTGGGGAGGGTTTCTTGTTTGAATCTTGAGGGTTTAAATTTGTCCTTCCGAAGATGTCTTTAATTGCTGTGTAAATTCCTGTGTTTCTTGTCGATCTGTTTAGCCCTTTTTGTTGTTTTCTTATAAGCTCAAGATTTATCGACAAACTGTGCATCTGCATTTCTGTTGAGGTGAATTTATCAGTGGCTGCAATTGGCATGTTAGCTTAACTTAGATTCTCTGATGCTGCTGCATTTTGTTCTGTAAGATGCTATGATATGAATTCACAATGATCTTGATTGGTAATGGTATGAATCTTTGACATTGTTTGATTCATCGATCTTGATTGGTAATGGTATGTATAGTCTAGGAATCTCTGGCATTGTTTGATTCGATTCAATTCAATTCAATTCGATTTATTCGTCGTAATAGGGCGGGGATTTGGGCATTAAAAGGGTGAAAATGGATCAAGAAATGGACCAGAGCTGTGAGCTCGACATAAGAGGGCCGGAGGGACATATGGAAATGGATGTTGAGGCCAGCACGTCGGATGCAAATGAGCTTCCTAGAGAAATGCACGAGATGAAGATTCGCGAGGATAAAAATGCTGACCATGATGACGGCGCCGCGAAGGTTTTCGCTTGAATTTCTTCGTCGTAGAGGGAAATGCTTTACATCTTGTACTTAAAGTTTGTTTTAATGTCTTTTGCAGGATATGGAACCGACTGTTTTTAGCGGTGGCGGGACTGAAACTGGTCAGATAATCGTAACTTCAATTGGCGGCCGGGATGGACAGCCGAAGCAGGTTTTGAAGCATAACATTTGAATCTTCCTTTACAATGAGACACAGTGTAGTGTTAATTTTGTTCATTATATTTGTTGTTTAGACAATGTCTTACATGGCCGAGCGCGTCGTGGGAACCGGTTCTTTTGGAGTTGTATACCAGGTATCGTTTACGGAAGAATGTGTGCTTTTCTCGGAATATGCATTAGGCGTGAAATTTGCTCGGGTTTTCCGCAGGCGAAATGGTTAGAAACAGGGGAATCGGTTGCCATAAAGAAAGTGCTGCAGGATCGTAGATACAAGAACCGAGAGCTACAAATAATGCGGTTGCTTAGCCATCCGAATGTTGTTAATCTGAAGCATTATTTCTATTCGACTACCGAGAAGAACGAAGTGTATCTTAATCTTGTTCTGGAATACGTTCCGGAAACTGTTTATCGAGCTTCTAGGCACTACAGCCGAGCAAATCAATACATGCCTATCTTATATGTGCAGCTTTATACGTATCAGGTTCGTTGCATATCCTCGCATTCTTTCTTTTTGATTATCTGTTACATTGCCGATATGTTTTTGTTTATCATGACAATACAGATATGCCGTGCTGTGAATTATATGCATCGTGTTCTTGGGGTTTGCCATCGTGACATTAAGCCGCAAAACTTATTGGTAATGTTAAACGTTTAAACTAAATATTTTTCGGGGTTGAACTTCTAAACGATCGGAAGATATTACCCTCTTGCAGGTTAACCCTCACACGAATCAGCTTAAGCTTTGTGATTTGGGAAGCGCCAAAATGTTGGTACGTTACATTCGATATTGCACCCCTAAAGTTTTGGATTGCGTCTGGTAGCATGTCGATCATTTCAGTTTCGGGTTTCTGCAGGTGCCTGGAGAACCGAATATCTCATACATTTGCTCTCGGTATTACAGGGCTCCAGAATTGATTTTTGGGGCTACAGAATACACGGCTGCCATTGATATGTGGTCAGTCGGTTGTGTCATGGCTGAGCTTCTTCTTGGCTATGTATGTCGTGATGAATTGTGTGAATTTTAATAAATGCGTCGTGAGCTCAGAACGATGTCTAATACCTTAGTTCCTGCAGCCGTTGTTCGCTGGCGAAAGCAGTGTCGATCAGCTGGTTGAAATAATTAAGGTTATATTATATTCAATGCTTCTGCAGCCCCTTTGTATAAAGTATTTCTACATGCTGTTCTAAGTTGCCGTCGCAATTTTCATTCGGAAACAGGTTTTAGGGACGCCGACTAGAGAGGAAATCAAGTGCATGAATCCGAATTACAACGAATACAAATTTCCTCAGATAAAAGCCCATCCATGGCACAAGGTATTATATCGCAAAAAATCGCATTACATGTGTAACGTTAAGGTCCGAAATCATCGAATGGAAAGAAATGAGCTCAAAGGAAATTTCTTTACAGGTATTTCATAAGAGGGTTCCGGCTGAGGCTGTAGATCTTGTGTCGAGGTTGCTCCAGTATTCGCCTACTTTACGGTTTACAGCAGTAAGTGATGCTTCCTCAAACGACAACCCGGCAATTAACTTGCCGATGAACTGCTCTGAATTCTTGATTTATCGTTTCTTCAGTTGGAGGCTTGCGTGCACCCCTTTTTCGATGACTTAAGAGATCCCCATGCATCCTTGCCCAACGGACGACCATTGCCTCCCCTGTTCGACTTTTCAGCGGAAGGTAAGCTCATGTCGCCTGCCATTTCTCACTCCTCGTCTTACGGTTTAAGATCATCCTATCACGCCCGCTATTTATTCTACAGAACTTGCAAGTGCGCCGTCTGAACTGCTGAAACGACTCATTCCTGATCACTGCAAGAAGTGAAATTCCGTATCTGTTCGAGGACACTCGAGCCTATTCAAAGCACATTACCTAAAAAGGTTAGCATAAAAAGCGAATGAATGACAAGCAACATGTTAGCTTAAATTACCGGAGACAATATTACCGGAAATGTTGGATCCAATGACGGACGCCAACACCGGGAACTAGTTTTCTTGTACATGGTTCTGCCATTAGAGCTTAGCTGCTTATAAACTGGAGACTGTTAGATCATGTAGGCACTTCTATTGCACGTTCTTCGGCATTATGTTTTCTCAGTGATATTGAAGTTCCCACGAACCTCCCGGGGCACTGTTGTCTGATCTCGATTACAATTCGAACTTAATCATTTTTGTTACCAGTAATCTCCACAGGAGCAGTTCCCTTCCTTGAAATGGTGAAAGCAGTTACAGTCCCTTAGAACAATGTGCCTCTGATAAACCTGTGATATAAATTTCATCGCAGCGTGGCAATCGCCGCACACCCGTAAGTTCTTGTATATCCGAATGGGCGCAGCTTTCGGCAGTTTGAGCAGCCCGAAGGCGACGGCGAGCTTCTCGCTGTGGTAGGCGAGGTCTTGCTCCTTCCCCTCTTCGTTGATGTCGCGAAGCGCCAAGTCTGTCGCAGGTATGTACCCGGCGCCCTTGATCGATGCCATGATCTCGTCAATTTTTAAGTATATGCCTCCTGCGTCTGGATGGGACTTATCTCCGGACATAAATGTGTGCATTTTGCCATTCGATTCGACCCAACTGCTTCCCGGCTCCTTCCGGACGCCTCTCGATTTCATCAGCAACCTTACCGAAGCTGCTTCGTCCCATTTCCTGTTGGCGGAGAAGATGTTCGAAAGCATAACATACGGAACCGAGTTTTCAGGCTCCAATTCGAGTATAGCTTCCGCAGCTCTCTTCGCCAAGCTGATGTTCCCGTGCATCCGGCAAGCGGAAAGCAGCGCTTTCCATACAGTCGCGTCGGGTTTGAAATCCATCTCCTTAAACAGATGCTCTGTTTCTTTCATCCTCCCGGCCCTGCCGAAAAGATCGATCATACATGCATAATGGTGGGGGCCTGGTGTTATCCCGTAATCTTGCGCCATAGAGTCGAAGTAGTAGCGCCCGCGCTCTGTGAGACCAGCGTGGCTGCAGGCGAACAGCAATCCGATGAATGTTATGAAGTCGGGTCTCACACCCGATGCTATCATCTCGTCGTAGCATCGAAGAGAGGTCAGCCCCTCGCCGTTTTGGGCGTAGCCAACGATCAAAGCAGTCCACGATATTACGTTCCGTGTTTCCATAGACTCGAACACTTTCTTCGCATTGTCCAACCAGCCACAACGCGCGTACAAAGACATGAGCGAGTTACTGACCGATAAGGCCTTGGCGAACCCGGATTGAATACAGTTCGCGTGAACTTGCTGCCCTAAGTCTAACAAAGCCAGTTCTGCGCAGGAACTTAGAATGCTTGAGGAGACGACGCCGTCAGGATAAGTCCCGTTCACTCTCATTTTACAAAACAGCGTAAGAGCTTCTTCGTGGAAGCCACCGTGAGCGCAGCCGGTGATTAATGATGTCCATGAGATCACATCCTTTTCGCCTCCAAGGTCGAATGATTTAAACGCGCAATAGAAGTTACCAGCTTTCGCGTACATATCAATGAGGGCATTGTTCACCAGCATATATCTCTCGAATCCGGATTTAATAACAAGGGAATGGATATTCTTACCTGCATCCTCGTCGTTCAACAAAGTTAGCGAGTTCAGCACAGACGGGAAGGTGAATTCATCGAGCTCCATATCTTTCGCGTGCATTGTTCTGAACACGGACAGAGCTTTATCCGGAAAGCCCTGTCGAACACATCCGACAAGCATGGCATTCCAAGAGATCACGTCATCAAACTCCATTGATTCGATTACTTTCCAAGCACTGCTCAAATCCCCACATTTTGCGTACATATCAACCAATGCGCTCCGAACAAAAACATTCGCGGAGAAACCACCATGAACAATGCAAGTATGCGTCTGCATTCCTACAACGAGATCAGAAACAGCTGCGCTGGCTGACAACACGGCTGGAAATGTGTACTGGTTCGCCTCAATCCCTTCGGCCCTCATCTCTCCAAAGCACTGAATCGCTCTTACAGAATCACCGTTTAGGGAGTATCCCTTGATCAATGCAGTCCAAGTGACATGATTCCTCCCACCAGACATGCTCCCGAACAGACATTCTGCTTCCACAATGCGCATACACTTTGCATACACATCAATTAAACCTGTAACGATGAAAACATCCATGTCGAAGGAAGCCTTCACGGCGTAGCCGTGAATCTGCTCACCTATTGAGAGCAGAGACTTTATAGAACAGAGCCTAAGCAAACTCCCCAAAGTGAACTGGCTCGGCTTGTGCCCCTCCAGCAGCATTTCGTAAAACAATCGAAGACTCTTATTTTCGGAGCCGATTTTGCAAAAACCCGACAAAAGGGATGACCATGTAATTGCAGTCCTCTTTGGAGCCTCATCAAACAGCTTCTTGGCTTCAATAATATTCCCTGAATTCGCATGCCCAGCTATCATTGTATTCCAAGTAAACTCATCCCGTTCAGACATTTCATCGAACACCTTTCTGGCATCCTCAAATCTGGACATTTTAATCAGGTCGTTCAAATGTTTATTCGCATTGATCAGTAAATCCCTCCGTTCGGTTTTTGTCCTCAGTTTTCTACACCCACGAAGAGAAACAAATCGGTGCATAACCTCAAGTCTTCCGGAGGTTTCTAGATATGGCGGTACTCTACAAAACCAGACAAATAGGAAACTGGAAAAAGACATTAGCTGCGAAAAATTGAAACAAATTTAAATCTAGAAATTGGATTACACCTCTTAATCGCTGTCAATGGCAATGTCTTCGGTTGCAACTGATGACGAGCCCCAAAGTGTTCGTTGTTATTTGGGAGTTGAGATCCCGGGATCCTGCATTTTGTGTTGGGGTAAAGTTTGTTTAATTTATACTCCCACTATATTTTGTCCGTTTCACTATAAGAATTTAAGAGATATATTAGTAAATAATTTAAAATATATTAGTGAAAATAATTATGGTATAATAAAAATAATTATAAATTAAGAATAAAATAAGCGATTAGTATAATTAAAATTTAAAAAAATTATAAATTAAATTTTTTAAAATAAAATTAAAATATATAATTTTTTTTCAAAAAATGAAAGTGATAAAATAAGTTGGACGGATGGAAATGAAAAGGTGGACATGGGAAGGGGGACGGAGGGAGTAATAAGGTTAGACACGGTTCAAATATTTGTAATTTCGTAGGTAATTGATAATCGAATCGAACCGAATGAATACTCGAAGTCGCGAATCATATTCGAATTAAAAAATTTTGTTAACTGAAAATATATGTGTTGAGCGAGGAAAACCAATGTGTAGAGTTTTCGAGCGTGGGCTTGTAAATTGGGCCATGGTTTGGTGTATGATTCGATGGGCTTGTCAATTGTATTAAGGTTTTTAAATGGGTTTGGTGTAGATCCAACGATCAAGACATTACTAAAAAATGGGCTTCTTCGAGAGGACCTTCGATTAGGTGATCGGTTGACACGGAGGTCGGACAAGGGAAGGTCGGGCAAAGAAAAAGAGACATGAGGTGTTTAGGTAGGTTGGTGTGGAGGTCGGACAAAGAGAAATCGGGCGAAGGAAGATAAAGCGGTAATGTTTAGGCTAGTCGATACGGAGGTTGGACAGGAGGAAGTCGGGCGAAGGAAGACGAGGTGGTGGATGTTCAGGTCGGTCGGTTAAATGGGGCGGTTGAGTAACAGTTTTAGAGCGGTTGGGAGAAGTTACAACCGATGAGCGGATGTGGAGGCACGACCTGATAACGATATTGGGGCGGTTGACATGAGTTTTTAAATAGGCCTTTTCACGACCTGGAAAAGGCATCTTCAATCGACATCAAAATCAGTGAAATTGCTTTTGGGAATCATTTTTACTTTTCTAGTATTTAGTTTTTTTTCTTTTAAATTTTTTTGTATCGTACAATATCTAGGGATTCTTAATCTCAGATATTTTTTTAATCAAATTCGAAAATAATTTCTCTTTTTTCGGATTTTACTTTTAAATTGTTGAAAATCAGCATCAACAATTTGGCGACCACAGTGAGAGAAATACAAGATTGTTGATCCTACGTCAGGAGAAAATTACATACGACTGAGATCCGGCCGAATCATCGGAAGGATCCATATGGCAGGCTCACAGCCCAAGTCTCTTCGACACCGGCGGGAGAAACAATTTCACCACCCGCCATGACGCATGTAGGGGAAGCACCCCAAGCACCTGCCAATTGGGTGTCTTATGTTCAATATTTGAACAATCAGCTAACTTTGGCTATGCAAAACATATTGCGTGAGCAACAAAACCTCATGCAGAATATGTTAGATCAAGCTCTATCAAGGGTTACTATTCAACCCACCCCATCACCCTCAGGGATGTCACCATCCAGACTACAAACAAATTTTGCAGGGCCTTCATATGTAGACAACACCCTTCCAAGTGCCGCTACTAGGGTCGATAGAGGAAAGACCTCTCTGGCATACCCAAATAATGTTCCACTAGGTATCAGGGCTGAGCCGACCTTCCCCAGAGAAGAGAGAACGGGATGACAGGCTCACAATCCTATTCCTGTTTTCGACCCCATTCCACCCAGGATGGATCCGGAAGACATTGCTCAAGTTCTGTGGTTGCATTACGGAATGAATCCTCAAACGGTGAACAGGCCGGCTTATCATAGGCCATTTCAAAAAAGAATCATCAATGAGTATCCGCTCCCGAGGAATTATAGACCACCTGATTTCCATTCCTTCTCGGGAGAAGACAGAGCATCAACCATTGAGCATGTGGGACGTTTTACGGCTCAACTAGGGGAAGTGGGCAACAATCCGTTTCACAAATTGCAGTTGTTCGGGTTGTCTCTTAAAAGAACAACTTTTTCCTGATTTGCCAATCTTCCGTCAAGGCAGTTGCAAACTTGGGAGGGTTTGGAAGCGGCTTTTCATGCAAGGTTTTTTAATCCTCTTCCGACAGTCTCACTTACCGACCTTCTGGAGATTAGGCAGATGCCAGAGGAAACCGCCTACCAGTTCATAGAGCGGATATGACTAATGAAAGGACGTTGCCCAACAGTCATTGAGGAAAGCAAAATGACCAACTTGGTGGTCAGGAATATGCATACGCGACTGCGAGAGGCTTTGACAGCCCACGATGTTCGAGATTTGGCCAGTTTAGCATCTAAAGCAGGGAGTCTAAAGTCCCTCTTTAGAGAGAAGGACCACAACTTCCGGCGGAACAAGGTCCAGCAGATGGCCAGTGTTGATACAGAGATGTATGCACCGAAAGATGAACAAGGGAAAGGTGCTGAAGAAATGGCGGCTGAGATTGTAAATGGCAAGCCTTATGTATGCTCCAAACTGAACCCCTCCCAGGGGCAAAAGAGCGGGAGCAACCGACGTTTTATGCATCCAAAGCAGATGAGATCTTCGATATTCTGCTAGTGGATGGGCAAATTCGCATGCCAAAGGGACGGGCAAATGGATTGGCTGAAGCAGCAAATAAAATCGTCATCGGCATCATTCGGAAAATGGTGGAGGGAAATCCTAGGAAATGGCATACATTATTGCCTCAGGCATTGTGGGCTCATCGAAATAGTAGGAATACTTCTACTGGATTTTCTCCCTACCAGCTCACGTTCGGGCAAGATGTTGTACTTCCTGCGGAATTTGTTGTATCTTCACCCAGATTAATTAGTACAATGGTGAATAATGATGAAGCGTATGTACAAAGAATGTGGCGACGATTGGATGAGGTGGACACCGATTGATTGAATGCTCTGGATCGAGTGGTTAAGCAAAATGAAATCAGAGCTAAGTATTATGGGAAAAAAGTATCTCCTAAAGTATTTGCAGAAGGAGATTTGGTGTGGAAAACAATCCTACCTACATATAAGAAAGTTGATCAGTTAGGCAAATGGTCTCCTAATTGGGAGGGGCCTTTCATCATTCACAAAGCAATAGGAAACAGAGCTTTTATTATTGTAAATCAGGAAGGGAAGTTGGTACATAAGAATATTAACGCCAAGAATCTGAAAAGGTATTTTCTGTCTTTTCAGAACACTGTCGTTAATTTTATTACAAGAAATCTAAGGACCCTTTAAGGGTTCGAACCCACAAGAAGGGGTTTTATTCATCATCCGAAAGGGTGACACAAACATGATCATCTTCTAGTTCAGAAACCTCATCCCAATTCGTGGAAATCATTTCAGGTTCCTCGTCCAAGAGATCTTTTAGGTCGGGATGATAACGATCCCATTGATCTTGCATCTCTTGAAGGTCTTGTTTAGAGCGAACTTTCATATCTTGTAAAGAATGAGTTTCCCGTTCAGTAAGTACACGCAGTCTGGAGAGTGTTGATCTTTGCTGACAGAAAATGTTGTTCCAGCTAAGGTCAGGAAGAACGGCCATGACATGATGGTTTATCATATCCATATATGATCAAGGTCAGATATGCGAGTAAGAATGTTAGTCAGGGGTTCGTAGCTGATGGATACACGTTCCATTAGGTGAATCGTACGATGTATGATTTTCCTACCTCCACCAGAGAACTTAAATTTAAAGTCAAGTTGTTTGAGCACCTGTATCAGGTCCTCAGCATGTTGGCCTATGGGGTGTTTGCCCACAAGGAATGGTTGCAAGGAACCCTCCCAATTATTGGCAGGAACACGAATGCGAGGAGAAACCATTTGGGTGTAAGTGCAAGTTTAGGGGTGTTGGTGATGTTTGTAGTGGAGAAGTATGGATTATATATATACATGTTGTGGTGTTCAAATTGTTGACTTAGTTAAGGTGCAAAAATCACGGATCTATGTTCTGAAGAATAGATTATAAGACTAAGTCTCAAGACTATATACAAAGTTATGGAGAAATGAGGGCCCGAAAGGCAGCTCGGAGGTCAGCCCATTTCAGCTCCGACCGGGTTGCCCGACGACGCTGATAGGCCTCCTAGTGTCCTCTTACGAGTCTCATCCGTATACTTGTTTGTAGTTGATCGTAAAGACTCGTCTGTGTTTGGCGATGTTCCTCCACCAGGCGACCTCTTTCTTGGATGCTGCCATCCAGGGACTCCAACTGTTGTTCAAGGCGCCTGAGTTCTTCCGTCTTCTGGGAGATCTTAGCCGCCAGCGTTTGTTACGATTGTTGGAGTTTATCCAGCGTAGCCTTGTCGTGATCAAGTTCTTCATTGACCTTTTTCAGGGATGCTTCGAGGCTAGCCGGATCAACGATCGGTTGAGATGACGTGGCCTCGGACGATAGAGGTCGGATGAGAGGCAGTTCGGCTTGGAGTTCCGTAATCCTTTCCATCATTCAATCGAGAATGGGAGTAGCTCCCGACTCCATTGGATGCTGCACCAACAAGTCTATCACGACCTGAACCAAAGCCTCAAGGTCAGCTGGACTCAGATCGGCGAAAGACAAGTTAGCACAGCGTGCTATGATTGGTCGGGCGGGAGTCGGGAGAGTTACTCAGGCCAATACGTTCATCTCTTGGGCAGCCTGGAATGAAAAATTTTAGAGCATGGAGGAACGAACATAAATGAACTTATCAAAAGATCAGATATAAGGTTGACGTCTACCTGGTTGAATACGGTTGTTGCCTCGGAAGGAGCCATGATCCGAAATGCCAAGGGAAGACTGCGGCGAGTCATTGGGCCGGTGGCCGATTCGTCTGCTGGTTACAGATGATCGGCGATCGGTTCCAAACCCTGAAAGGAAAATTTCAGTTAAGATAAAAACAAAGGAATCAGAGGGTAAAGGTGAAGGAATACTAACCACATCCCTTGGGTTTTGGTTGACTAAAGTTTCACCCGACCTCGAAGAAGAAATCTCCTCAACCTCATGAGGTGGT